AGACAGGGTGAGCAAGTTGGGTAACGAGCGAATCGCGAACACTCACACCCTAAGTCACTTAAGATAAACAAACTTGAAATAAAAAACAGCTTGTAAGGCAATTGGACATAGCAAAGACAGGGTGAGCAAGTTGGGTAACGAGCGAATCGCGAACACTCACACCCTAAGTCACTTAAGATAAACAAACTTGAAATAAAAAACAGCTTGTAAGGCAATTGGACATAGCAAAGACAGGGTGAGCAAGTTGGGTAACGAGCGAATCGCGAACACTCACACCCTAAGTCACTTAAGATGAACAAACTTGAAATAAAAAACAGCTTGTAAGGCAATTGGACATAGCAAAGACAGCCCATCAAGTATGTTTATGCTTAACAACAAACATAATAGCAATATTTTGATTACTTGCATAGTTGGCATAATCAATAATAATAATTAGAAACCTTAATTTTGATTATTTGATTATTTTTATGACAATCAATTTAATCATAATTTCAATTAATCAATTGTAGGAATAATCGAAACATTAATAACTGGGAAACTAATTTCATTTAATTGCTTACGACAGTCGAATTAATCATAATTTTGATTAATCAATTACTTTACGTGAGTAATCGATTAAATCACCAGATCTAATCATAAAACCTTCAGAAAGTGCTTGGTTGTCACCAGTAAAGATTGTTATAGAAAATTAATCATGCCCAGGTTTTGCATTGAACTTAGATGTATGAATGTTGTAACTTGCATTGATGTTTTCCCATTACTGTGAACAAATAAACATCTGTACACATTGAATAGAGCCCATTGGTTTAATATATTACACACGACATCCATATACTGCTTAGTCGAGATGGATGATGATAACAGACCCAAGATTGCTTTCAGCACAAGAGATGACTTGCGTGAGTTTCACATCATAGTGTCGAATCTGTGCAACTCAACTGGCATTTTTGAGAGTCTAAAATGTATCTTATACCAAAGGATCTGCAATGTGAAAAATTGCCTAATATACGTCAATGACATCTTAGTGTTTGGTTGTACATTCAATTCTATGCCTGAGAATCTTAAAATGGAATTCCATCAGATAAAAAAAAATAGGCTCAAAATTGAAGCCTATGAAATGTGTGTTCAAGCTCACAGAAGTGGAAATTCCTACTGATATTGTGTGTACAGAAAGGAGTGTTCACAGATCCTGTAAAGATAGCAATGATGCAAGATTTGCCTCACCCTGTAACCAACAAGAAATCCACATTTTCTCCATAGTCATGTTACCAGTAGTTTGTGGCCAGCTTCTCCAGAACTGTCTCATCGTTATCAACTCTCACTAAAACAGAGATACATTTCAAGTGGAGTGAGGAAGGCAAGCAAGAATCCCAGTCCTTGAAGTATACTTTTGTGGAAGCCCCGGTGTTTTTGCATTCATGACAGGGTCGTGAGTTCCTTCTAGACACCAACACCAGTGACACTGGAGTCGAAACAGTGTTATAATTCATTGTACTTGCAGGATGGAGTGCAATGACAGAAGAGGTACTATGATAAAACAGTGAGAGAATGAATGTACCAAAGTGGAGACTGGGTATGGCTTTGGTGTGTGCCAACAGTATGGAAGCCTCTTGGCTCCAGCTAGACAAGATTTCCTCTTGTGCTCTGATGAGTTGGTCCATTGACATATGATTTACAGCCAAGGAGCATACAAAAGCGAATATTTCCCGCTGACCATTTCCATTCATACATAACCAATAACCTCTGATGATCTGGTTTGACCAAGAGGAGGTAGTCTAGTCAGATGAATCCATTGTTTTATCATACTCTGAACCTGAAGATGAGAAGGAAAAAAGCCGAGAGTACTTATCTAGCTGTTCAGAATGTTTGGATGAACAAGCACAATTTCAAAGGATTATGGAACTACTACCACCAATCTCCCAATTGATATGGCTGGATTAAGCCTGATCATCAAGAGATAGGACAATGACTCACTGTAAATTCATTGACTAAGAGAAAGTGGCGTTTCTTGTTTTTACAAGCTATCAAGTGATGTTAATCATACAATATATGTGCTACATTGTGTGATTACCACAAAGCTAGAGCTAGTAGATGTAATACCTACTATATCAACAGTTACCACATCTGAAAATGATGGTTAGGAGTTCAAAAACTCAACTGAAAGGGCTTTATAATCTTTGCTTTCCAAACTATTAAGCGATTTTTCAAATGTTTCACAAGAATCGCTTACTTCATCCAGTTGAATAGTGAGACCTATGTAGAATACCACAAATTGCTAATTTTTTCTAATATACCTGAAAGACATATAACTCCTCCAACTGTAGTGAGGGAGTTGTGCTTCATCATAGTGTACAGTGAAATATGTTATATTAACAATATAAGTATTAATCTTGGCTTACAAGATTTTTAGCTGAATTCTGTTGGTAATTATTTCGTAATGCCTGAAACATAAAAGGTATTGAGTGTGATGGCTCCTAGATGGCGGCACAATACTGTACCACGGATTTCAAAATATAGCCTGCCGTGGTATAACCCAAGACAGTTACTACATAATTTGAGGGGAGTTGGAGGCATTCTGTTGAAAATTATTAATGTATGTGGCAATGTATAATGAAGGTATATGTGCATTGTTCCACACACGTGTAGGAACATTACATGTTATCATTCATGAATGTTGTATAAAACAGACGGACCATTTACACAACCATTAAGCTATCTATACACGAATGAAAGCAAAGGATTTAATTTGAATGTTAAGACTTTGAGTTATGAGATTAACTGTGATTACTGGTCTGTGAGATATTATTTGAAGACACAGTGTGCACATTATTGTCATTTAACTTTAACATTAGTGTTTCAATTTTATTTTTAAGCTTCGAAGTTTTAGTTTATTTACAGTAACAACTCAACTGGTGAAAGCAAGGTGAAGACTTTGTTGAAGAGCTATTTATCAGTTCGACACATGAAATATACATGTAATCTTGTTTAGCTTTGTTTTTGTTTTGTAGTGTGGACATGTTCAATTATCGGTGTCGAGTCTCTTCTTCTTGACAATTCTGGTTGTAGATCGGATAAATCAGTATCTTCTGTATTCTACGAACCTACAGTCAGCGACCCTAACCCTAACTGACTGCTTTGCTGGAAACCCATTTTACCGGGAATACCACAAATCTGCAAATAGAAGCATTAGTACATAATTGAAATGCTAACATGACGCGCACAATAATCAATTTATTCAATGCTGTTATACTCTATGTAGGCAAGGATGGTTGCCCTTTGGTGGAACCCATTCATTTCCCTCGGTGAGATTTGGGTTTTGGTCCCGAAAATGCTGGAGTAAGGCCCTAAATACTTGAAAAACATAATTAGTATGCGCATCATGTAAGTATTACAGTTATGTACCAATATTATTATCTTTTTATGTGCATCACCTTATACTTGTTTTTTTTTCTTTTATCGTAGCATCACTGTGCCGTCTGTCTGCCAGTTTTCATATTGATGCTATCTGCTATTAAGACAATATTATTTTTCCTTAAATTAAAAAACAAATTAAATCCCGACTATGGCGCTGTTTGTGACGGCGTGCGAGTGATATGTTTTTATTTCATATTTAAAAGAATTCTTCGTAAAGGACATCTAAAATTAGTTTCAGTAAGTGTATAAAAAAGTACAAGTAAGTTCAAGTTTTTCCATTATTTCGTATTTTGAAAGTTTCCACGTGAAAAACTCGTAGAATGTGCTAACTTTTTGTATTAGGAGCCTACTTTAGTTTTACTAATGTCGACAATATAACTATAACTGCTACTACTAGTACTATAAAAATAATATTATAACAGATTTAGAAATGTCGGAACTATCAGATGACAGGATTCATTAATAGATAAGTTCAGTCATACATAAGTTTCTTAATGTAAGACTAAGAAAATGGAAATCGGGAATTGAGCAGTATATTATATAGACATAATGTTGTGTCAAAGTGAAGTTTTAACTAATTTTTTTAAAGAATGTGATTAAAAAATGAGCTTTCTTTTTTTTAGTACCACGTAACTGAAGGCAGTACGTCGATGCCATTTTGTTATTTTTCCCTAAAGGTTCTTAACCCTTAATTCAGTGTTGGAACATACAGTTCTAAAATATAGTGCTACATGACACTTTAACAAACTAATAATGGTTGGAGACGGCTTGAATGGGTAATGAAAAAAACTTTAATATAAGTTTAACATAACAGCAAATGTACAACGTTTCAACAAGGTTTTGTCATCATCAGGTATCATCATTTTGTCGATGTATTCTGAATTGTTCATGATGACAGTGGTGTTGCCTTTATCAGCTTTTA